TGTGCAAATATGGATGTTGAGGCCCTATATATACAAGTAGGAAAAAAAAAAATTCATATAGAAACAAAAATTTCTGACACGAGAAGAACACATTCGGAAAGAGCTTCCCAGAAAAATTTATTTAGTCACCCTTCCAAATCATAGAGCTGATAAATTGATTTTCCAATTTAAATCATTGATGAATTCTCATGTTAATAAGGGAGGGAGAAAAGAACTGTGATTTTGGGGAAATGGCTAAAGCTTGGGTTTTTACAATCCAAAATTTGATGGAAGAGGGTGGTACACTGGTACTGAAGATAAATGGCTTCATTTTGAAGGAGGAGAGTGAGAAAGACTTGCTGAAAGAGAAAAGAATATTATAATGGTTTTGCAGCTTGAGAGTCGGGAAGAGGAAAACACAGGTTTCAAGCCATAATAAATAAATAAAAAGAAGAGTTGCAGTGTAAGAGTTGGGAAGAGGAAAATGAATTAAATTAGGGCATCTACTCTCTAAGTTGTAGAATTTGTTGATAATTAATATTCAATTCAATTTTGGTTTTGGTGCCTTGTATGTAGTGTTGTGGGGTGATATTTAATATTTCATTTTTATTTTCATGTTTTAGTTAATTTAATGGGTTGACTTGGAAAAATTTGGAGGTCCCTAAATTTTGGGGGCCCTGTGCGGTCGCACACCTCGCACACTCCATGAGCCGCCTCAGGCGATGGGAGGTGCAGCTGCACCTCCTTGCGCCTTACTAGGTCCGCCAGTGTCCGTGACATAGCATGATAGTAGCACGGCATGCCTCAACTTAACAAATCGCATATATTATATATACCTTGTTAGTTCATTTTTCCATGCAGATGTACGTTAATGGTTTAACTAGTTGGAACTAAATATTATTTTCATGACTTCATTTTTGTGATTGTATTGTAGTAGCAAGGCATGATTCATTGTGTGAGACGATTTCAGTAAGGTAGATGAAAATGCTCCGCGATGCATATACTTTGGCGCTTTAATTATTCAATTGCCTTTATAACCTTTTCTCTAGATTTCAAAAGAGACAAGACCTCTCCATTGGCACGCCATTGTAGCCCGCAGACAAAAGAAGAAAGCGATAAAAGTAAAAAAGCACTCTAAAGAAAATCAAGTCATTTCTTGGGTTTCCATCTTCCATAAAGGAGCCATTATCAAAGAATTGTAAGGAAGCCATAGCTGTGTTATCACACTTTGGCTTAGCCCAAAGCAAAAAAATATTCATATAAAGTATACCACTTTCTTGTTTTGATACAACAATAAGATATATGGTTAATTTGACTAACCAAAAAGCAGACGTGAGTTAGACAATGAAAGTGCTGCATACAGTATCACCATAAATTAAGCACCACCAAGACATTACCTGCATTTTTGCCTCAAATCCAATTTGGCCAGCTTGCTCAAAACTTTCAGAGCCAGCCATGTCCACAAGCATCAAGCGTCTTCCTACTGTTGGGACATCAAGGATTATCTGTGTAGAAATAGAAAGCAAGTTATATCCAACTAGTGACAAGACTTGGGGAAGAATTATCATATATTTGAAAGTCCAAGGGAATCCTACCATGCAATGGCTCCGAGAACTTCTTTCATTGCAAAGAGTACTATTAACAATCCTTCTCTTTTCCACTTTCTGAATCTCCTTGGAAATTTTCCCAGCCTCATTTCCAGAAATGTAGGTTGCATTCTTTGCCTTCTTTCCCATCACTTCAAGCCTAACCTGCAGGTACAAGTATTAGTGCAGTAATTAAAAATACTCATAAATCATCAAGAGTTGAATAAATAAAAAGAAAGAGACCCAGTTAATGTTATCACCTTAGAATTGGAGCCGTTGCCCTTTGACCATCCAAAGCCGAATCCTCCGCCACCACTGCTTGACAACAAATCATAAATCTTCTTATTATATATTGTTTACACCATAATCAGCCGAGCATATCCAGCATCAAAACAACTAGCATCAAGAGCATCAACATCATAACACGTGTCACCACCACAGCGACTTGCACAAAGTCTCACATCGGAAATCTACACAAACCTCCCACTTTCACCTCCCTATAAATAGGGAATAATATTCATGTGAAAGGGGGACTTCTTCTCTCCACTTAGAGGAGGATCCAGGTCTTAGAGCTAGACCCTAGGGCCAGGGACTCTCTTCTAGATCCCTGGCCTGGGCATCTCACTTGTCATCTTTATATTCGGGTCCAACCCCATGTACAAATGTAATCATACACTATTATAATGAAAACATACTTCTCCGTGGACGTAGCCCATTCATTAAGGGTGAACCACGTATATCTTGTCTTCTTTAAATTTTTCGCCTGCCCAAGTCTTCACACACATGCTGAAAGTCCTCACCTTCACCCATCATCCATTACACTTCATCACTAAGTTAGACTCAATCTTGGCTAACCATTTTGAGCATCAACATATATCTCCAAAACATTGACCTGCACAAAGGCCCCAGCCATACAACCTGCACAATCATCTTCTCCAACATCGCCAAAAATGTCTTTCAGCGACCTGTACACAATCCCAAGTTCCCTGCAATACCCAAACATGGTGTGACTCTTGCCTGAACCAGTAGGAGCATACATAATTATTGTACATTTTTCACCCAATTTCACACTGTCAATCCTGGACTAAACAAACTTGCAGTAAAATGACCATAATATGTTATTTTTTGAGGTGCCCTTTGAAAAATCCCACGTGGAAAATCCACACTCCTATAAAGGTAGGTATTTATAAACAAAATACTATGACAATTCATTAAGAGTGTTTAACATTGGAGAGCTAGGCTAATGGGCTTTTAACTGGGCTCTCATTAATAACAACCATATTAATCAAAGATTTGGGCCTTGGGCCTCTTGGGCTCAAGGAAGATTTAATTCAGACACCCAAACGAAAATGGGTAATTTATTTTTTTCGTTTTTGCGCCGTAGAATTAAATCAGTAACATATTTAAATATTTACTAAAGAAATAAAAATTAATATGTAATTACAAATTAAAGTGATTCAAAAAGGCTAAAATATTACTTAATCACATATATTAAATTAAAGAAGTTGGCCAAAAAACAAAAGTAAAGAAACTAATTTTATATTTTAAAATTCAAAAAGAAAAAAAAAAAACCTCTCCCAATGAAATTTCGTCGGCCAAGGTAGCATTCGTCAAGAGAAGTCTAATCCAACAAACTTTTGCCGGCATAAACCTATGTCGACGGAAATTCGTCGAGAGATGTGTTTCCTTAGTTTGCTATTTACAAGGTATAGCCGGGGGGCTATACTGTGAAGATATTATATTTTTAGAGGAATATAGCCGTTCGGCTATACTTTTAAAATATTATATTTAAGAAGTATAGCCGCACGGTTATACTATTTAAAGGTATAGAATAGTAAATAGAATATTTTAATTTCATAAATATTAATTAATTACATTTAATGATCTTAAAGAATTTTTTGGAATTTAAAATTATTTTAAAAATACTTTCAATTATTTTAAAATTCTAGAAAATTAATTTAGTATTATAAAAATGGAATTTTAGTCTCCAAACCAAAAATCCAAGTCTCGAAACAAAAACCATAGGACGCGCAAACTTCTTCTCTTCAAAGAAGACGTATTATTCCTGAAATTTTATTGACGAGATTTGGCGGGCAGAAAATGAAAATTCCCTCTCGGTTGAGTTGATTTTGCCAAACGCTCAACTTTTCCTTTTCCACGCTCTAAATCCCGACTTTTATTAAAGTATCTGGATGTTTGACATATTAAATATGATTAATTACAGTTTGGTACCTTGTGATTACACCATTAAGACATGTTAGTCCATATCTTCTTAATTTTTACAATTAGATACCCAATCTTTTAAATTTGTTACAACGTGGTTCCGCCATTAGGGTTTTTGTTAAATTTCTCCATTAGTTGCCTACTTAGCATTATGGTCCCACATTTTTCATTTTTTGTTAATTTTAAAATGATTACAATATTTTTTTTCAAAAAAAAATTGCAGAAAAAAGAATCCTCCCCAAACAGCTGCGATTTTCTTCTCCCTTTCAATCCACCATGACCACCACTCGCAGCCATCCTCCAAACCCCCCACCCCCAAACGAACCCAGAACCCCAGCCAGCAACCACCCAGACTCCCTCCCCTTACCCCACGATTTCTTCTCTCCCTGCCCGACCCTAAACTCCAGTCCCCACCTACCAACTACAGCTTGGCGACCACTCTCTCTCCATCCTTCAAAGCTCGTTCCAGCCGTCACCGACGCTTTCCGGCGAGATCTGACGGTCTGCATCTCTCTCTCCTCTCCGCTCTCTACCGTCTTTCTCTCTGTGCAAATTAAAAAACCAACAAATTGGAAAAAAATAAAAATAAAAAAATTCGTTGGTTTTTGAATTTAGGTGTTTTGATTATTTTTTTTATTTTTTTGCTCAATACATAACTGTATAATTAGCGTTATAATTTGGTGTCCCGTAGTTGTTGTGAATGTGGTTATGAGAATTTTGGGTTGGCTTGTGTCTTCTCCCCTGTTTGGTAGATCATGAACTGATGGAAAGAAAACAAAAGGTAATAAGTTTTCTTTTCTCAAAGTCTGAGACTTTTGCGGTTTTGGTAAATTTCCCAGTTTTGCAAAAAAATTCGCTGGTTTTTGGTGGGTGGATACTGGAGTTTGGGGTCGGGCAGGGGGAGAAGGAATCTAGGGGAGGGGGATCGGGTCTGTGCGGGTGGTGGTCATCGGTGAATAGGGGAAGAAGAAAATCGCAGGGCGTTGGTTTGGGAGGATATTTTTTCCCTCCTCTTTTTTTGCAATTTTTTTCCCAAAACAAATATTTTAATCAATTTTAAATTAACAAAAAGTGAAAAATGTGAGACACATAGTGCCACAGAGAGATGTGGCATAAATCCCAACGGCGTAATCACAAGTTACCAAACTGTAATTAACCCTATTAAATATAGTCGTTGTCAATTTGCATTATAGGCCCAACGAGTTGTTGCAGTGGTATTTGCCTTGAGTTTGACCTTGGAGGTCTTGCGTTCAAAATCTCCACCCTTCATCTTGAAATATTCTTTCTCTCTTTTTTGGGTCGAATACCTTCATCTCTCTCTAGACTTATTGTATGTCTACTCTAGGTCTAGGTGGAGGACTCTCCTCTCCTCTAGAATCCTCTTCGGTCGTTGAAAATTAAAGACATTCTAAATTGTTAAACCACAAAAACAACCCACTCATCATAACAACAGAAGAGATCCAAGTAAGTCCAGCTTTTATTTTTCTGTTTGTAGTTTTCTGTTTGTTTGATTCCCGAGAAAACTTGAAAGAAAATACAAGAAAATGAAAATGTTGGGTTTTGGTATGTTCCCGTAAGTGTTGCGTTTTTTCCCTCAAAGAAGAGAGAAGTCAGGTGTTCCATCTGAGCCGACTGTAATTCCTTGTTTGTATATTTTATTTGGTTTTCTGAACTTTTGTAGACATTTCCTAGTAACCGAACCAGCAAAGAATCTGGTTTAAGTTATATTTGTTTGAATGTACGGAATTTCTACTTCTGTTCGGAATTTCAATACAATTCCCGTGAGGTTTGCGTGTTTATTGAGGTCTTTCATTTGGGTCTGTGCAGAAATTTGAGAAGACCCATTGGACTGTAAAGATTTTCAAGTAATGGAGGATGTTCTGGACCAGCAAAGTCAACCACTTGGTATGTATAATCATACTTTGACCTTCATTTTCAGTTAAAGAAATAATTTTTATTTTCTACACTCCATTAAATCTTTGGGGTACACTCGGATACTGTAAGATCTGTCAAAACTATCTATATTGTTACTGTAGAAGCAAATCCGTTATGTAGTTCTATAACAATCTTAAGAGGCTAACATTACTTGAATGGATGGTGTCCAATGGAAACTGAATTGAAATCTTATCGGATGCCAGAGGTATTTTTGGTTAATACTAGGATCGAACTGAGTGTTAAAACTTCATTTATAAGTTCCATAATTTTATAAGTAGAATTTTCTTCAAATCCTGGTTGTGTTTCAACAACTTTCAAATAAGGTGGTTTTGAAGTGATTGAGTTGAAATGAATACATGAAGATCTCTTCTTATCCTTTTCTCTAACATGACAAAATCTTCAATCTCCAATTCTTGTTGGTCATTATCAAGCCAAACTATTGTTCGGTTAGAACTTGATAGCATTTTGGAAATAATTTATGTTTCAAGAAGGAACACAATGCTTGGACACAATGACTGGGGCTTTTCTCCTCTCCATGCACTGATTCATCATTCCTCATTATTTTTATGTTAGTAACTGACAAATCCCTGTATTCACAACTCATCATAGATATGTGGGGATGTCAGTTATATAGGCCCTGTATAATGTGTACAGATGAAAGAGAAGAATGTTGTTTTCCCTTCTACTTAGGAGTGAAGCAGATTTTTAAATGACCATATATTATGGTGCACTATGAGTATTCTATTGAAACTCGTTTGAGTTTTGGAAAGAGATGTCGCAACATAGGCTAGTGACAATTATATTCTTTGTAGGTCAAGATGGTGAAAGTGAAATAGTAACTGAAGATGCTACATTTGTTCATGGGGAACCTCCTCAAGATGCTAATGGCCTCCCAAAAGTTGATTCTAAGGTGGAAGTCCTTCATGAGAAAGTCACGAAGCAAATCATTAAGGAAGGTCATGGTCCAATACCATCCAAATATTCAACATGCTTCTGTAAGTGTCAAATGGTTGCTTATTCTTGTACTTCTGCCACGATAACGTTTAAATACTAGTAGATATTGTTTCCTTTTTGGTTTTTCTGTGTACATTAGTTGAAAATCCAGGAATTCTTTTGTGCACATGTAATTTCTTAGCATTACTTACCATTGCATTCTTGGGCTTTGTGATATGATCTGATATAAAGCATTTTAGGGGTCTTTTGTCTGGCATAAAACATACAGTTTTAGATGGATCCAATTTCTTGTTGGAAATTTGATGTTATCACATAAACTAGGGTTCTATAGGGTTTTGGGAGAGTGTAATGGGAAGGGTGCGATCAATTAAGTTGAGGGTCCCAATTTGGCATGCAAGGCTTCAAAATCTTTACACTTACTACTCTAGAATACCCACTTGTGCATATTAGTATAACAATAGTTGTTGTATGAGGAGATCATATCGCATGAATAGAGTAAATAGGTGTTTACGTAGAAAGGAAATAAATCAGTTCTCCAGTATTTTGGTCTAGAAATCAGACTTGTATCAGTTAACAGACAAGAATTAACCTCAACACAATCAACCTTGAATTAAGCCAGTCTGCAAGCTGTAAGTAGCCATCACTAGTGGCATACTTTCCCGCAAGCTGGAGGCTACATATCATTGGTTGAATGTTTTGTTTACACAGTAGTCAGTATGAAGATAACTTTATTTCACACTCTGTTGATTGCTTTTCATTTCAGGAAAGAGAAGGGCCAAACAATAAAACTTTCATTTTTTTTAACGTATGCCTCATCAACTTTGACTTGTTTCAATATGATTTCAGTTGCATTTTTATATACATCCTCCAATGCAATTTCAACTACTAGTTACCTGCGCAAGTATTTGTTAGTATAGGCAGTAAGGCATATGAATGAGCTTGAGACTTGCAAACAGACACACATGACATTCACGTAGACAGAGGTTTCTGTACACTTAAACAACACAGTTTGTTATAATACAATTTGTGTAATAGTATTCTATCATTCCAGGAAAGAAAGAAAAAACAGAAAAACAAAACTTTCATTTTTTTAACGTATGCCTCATCAACTTGGACTCGTTTCTATATGATTTCAGTTGCATTTTTCTACACATTCTCCGATGCAAATTCATCTAATAGTTACCTACTTATTAAGGTAAAATGCATCATCAAATTTTTTAATTTTTGCTTGGATAACCACATAGAATTACTTTTTTGTACACATCCTTCTCATGGATGATTTACATATAACTTTAGTTAGTCAGGTTCCTTCAATCACTGAGTGACTGCATATATGTGACAGTGCACTACAGGGCATGGACTCAAAGCACAAGGCATAAGTTTGAAGACACATGGGATGAACAACGACCGCTTGAAATGATTTTAGGAAAAGGTATTTGCCTTGCTGAGTCATCAGTTTCTTTAAATATATACAAAATATATGCAAATGGATTCTGACACGTTCCTTGTTCAACCTGCGGTTAGTTTTTCGATTTGTTTATTGCATTTATTCTCTCTAATTACTCAGATAATTTGTGTTCATAAAAAATTCAAGCATCCTATAGTAGTGTTTATTTAGACAAGTGACGAAAATAAATGCATTGGGCTTCTCATGAGAGAAATATTTTGTTTCTACAACAGAGAAAAAAGAAATGACTGGCTTGGCTATTGGTGTCTCCAGCATGAAATCTGGAGAGCGTGCCCTTATACATGTAGGCTGGGAGTTAGGGTATGGGAAAGAAGGAAGCTTTTCTTTTCCGAATGTTCCACCCTTGGCGGATATATCTTATGAAGTTGAGCTTATTGGGTTTGATGAAACCAAAGAAGTAAGTTGCTTCCAAAAGTCTCTTCGCAAGTAGTTATCATGGAAGTTTCAAAATCTCTTTGCGAGTGCTTTGCTTCAGTAATATGCTAACATATATCTGTGGACTCTGCCTTTCATAGGGGAAAGCTCGTGGTGACATGACTGTGGAGGAGAGGATTGGAGCAGCAGATAGAAGAAAGATGGATGGAAATGCTTTATTTAAAGAAGAAAAACTAGAGGAGGCTATGCAACAGTATGAAATGGTTATGCACTTGTAATTCTTAGATATTATATTTATGGTTCTAGATGAGCTTCTGAGTTGTTCAGTCTCTTTATTTAGATTTCCTTTTTGACAAGATTCTGGTTTCTGTTAGGCCATTGCATATATGGGTGACGACTTCATGTTCCAGTTGTTTGGGAAGTACAGGGACATGGCTTTGGCTGTTAAAAATCCATGCCACCTTAACATTGCAGCGTCTCTTATAAAGCTCAAGCGGTATGAAGAAGCCATTGGACAATGCAGTATTGTAAGTATATGCTCGAACAAGAAAATCATATTTCATGTATGTGCTCAGCAATTGTACTATTCATCCTTAGATACTTGAGAGTTGGATTATAGTAGGCTTATTTGGGAAGTGAAATAGCATACTGCATCAACAAAATTTGGATTCTTTCCTTAGCTTTGACCTATTATTTCGGATTGTCGTCGAAAACGGAAATGCTCTAGTTACCAATACAAACTTTGAAGGCTCACTGGCACCATTCTTCAATCAAAAATCAAAATTTAAAGGTCCTTGCTTAAAATACTGCACTCTTATGATCTCTGTAGTATGTGCCCATGCGCCATCCTGTTGTTTCAAATTATATGACTCTTATAACTTGGAATTGTAAATGCACTGATGTCTAATAATAGATTTTTATGCATTGTATGAAGGTAGTGATACTTCAATACCCATCCATATAATATCAAAAATGAACCGTGATTAGCACTCCAAAAAAGTCATCATGCACTTCCACCATGTGCAATTTGTCTCTTTTGTTTTTACAAGAGAGGAGTGCAAAATGACTTTTTTGGAGTGCCAATAACAGCTCCCTATCAAAATTCTGTCTTAACTGTAATTGAACAATCGCTCACAGGTACTGGCGGAGGATGAAAACAATGTCAAAGCATTATTTAGGCGAGGAAAAGCCAGAGCAGAGCTTGGGCAGACAGATGCTGCCCGGGAAGACTTTTTAAAGGCACGTAAATTTGCACCTGAAGACAAAGCTATTGCAAGGGAGTTGCGTCTGCTTGCTGAGCATGACAAGGCTGTTTATCAGAAACAAAAAGAGATCTACAAGGGAATTTTCGGACCAACCCTGGAACCTAAACCCAAGCAAAATAATTGGTTGATCGTCATTTGGCACTGGCTATTGTCATTGTTCTACCGTGTCTTCAGGCGTGAAAGGCATAAAGCTGATTAGTCAAAGCTCTTGAAGTCTTGAGTTGTACAATAAATGAAGAAATTTATGTATGAAGTCTATAATGAACAAGACCATGAATTTCATTTGCGGAGGGAGTTTCAGGCCTTTGAGTTAAATCTTAGATGAAAACAGTTTTAGCCTGGAAGATACAAAGCGACTGTTCTGAACTGTTCAACAAAAGCTTATTTTTCTCATGTTCCCTTTGTTTGCTGAAAGTTTCAGTTGTGAATTTTTCGTCACTGCCATAATCTTTCAGATTGTTCGTGTGGAACGAGTCAGATTGCTTTCAGTACTGCTTCTTGTTTCTTTAGTTTACCTTTTGCTGGAGAACTCCTGTTTCTCAGTTACGAGTCTATTTAAATGGAGATTTTGTTTGGTTTTTGGGTCATAGTTTGAATGGAGTATTTGAAAGTAAAGGATTTGGATTTTGACAATATTAATGAACTAGTTTCAGAAAAACTATAAAATAATTATAATAAGTAATAAATAAATAAAAACACTGCATGGAATGTATTTGAAATTAACTATTGGATTTAGGTTTGAAATTATTCATTCCAAATGGACCCCATCTACGACTTTCTTGAGCATATTTGCGAATTTTGGTCTTAAATTCTGGAAATGGAATAGAAAATGTTAACCATTCAATATTCATGAAAAGATCATTTGCCCTCTCTGAATTTCTAATTTTCTATGTCCTCTCAGAAGGAGACAGGCACTGAAACTGTGAAAAGCATTGCTGTAACTTATATATATATATATATATATATATATATATATATATAGATACAAAAGATATTCTACTTAATCTAATCTAAATTTCAGAGAGAAGATTCAACCCCGAGTACAAAATAAAGAGCACATTCCTCTAATCAACTTGACTAAACCATTTCTGTTGTAACGATTATTCTTTGTACATACATTAGAGGTGAATTTTCCTGTCATCAGTCACCGGTATAAAAATAAAATAAAATAAAAAATCATCCCAGAAGTAAACAACATATCTAATACATATTACAAATATAAAATCCGGGTTTGGTTTAGAATTTTACATAAAGCAAGAAACCCAAATATTTTTTTATCTTTTTTTACCAAGGATGGTTGGGCATGGACATCCAAGCACAGTAAGCACAGACAATCCTTTGGGAGATGTAAACATACACAGCAAATGATAAGCTCATCAACATCAAGTCCTTCCAGTCACCCTTTTGCTTTGGGCTTAAATTCTCCTTCAAGTTCTTCCCCAGCCTCTCAAAACCAACAAAAAGCCCCAGCAACGACTGCTTATCTCCTTGCTTCTGATCTTTCTCTACGGGCTCACGGCCTTGGCAAGATAGAAGAATGGAATCTGTTTTTGGGCTGCTTCTGCTTTTGGGTTCAAATTGAATGGAACTATTTTTTATTTGGAAAGAATGGCAAATTGAAAGAGCAGATGGACATGGAAGAAAGATCAAATTTTGGGTAATTAAGAAGGGTTGTTGGGAGGTGGAGTTGAACAAGATTGGTTTCTCCATGGATGCTTGTGTGGGGAAGTGTCTGGTGTTTGACCATGGAAAAGAAGGAAAAGAAGAAACTAAATCATTCTCAGTGGCCAATGTATAAGAAAATATCTTTTTGTTTTTCCCTATTACAATGTGAGAAAATATCTTTTGTGGGCATGTACAACTTTTTTGTTTTTTGTAGGTTAGCATGTATTTAGTTACCCCCAAAAAAAGTGAGCATTTATTTTTGTGGATTATTTATGTTTTCATAGTTTGAAATGCAAATATGAAGAAGAGTATGAAACTAACAAATTTGGAAAATCCACTATAAACTGGTCATACATCCATAGTATATGAATCATACATCCATGGGTGTAATTCAATAAAAGAGGGCCTTGATTGCAGATCAATACTCTCATGTTTGAATTCCTATGACACTTTGATAGTGTGTGTGTGTGTGTATGAATCATACACCCACGGATGTAATCCAATAAAAGAGGGCCTTGATTGCAGATCAATAGTCTCATGTTTGAATTCCTATGACACTTTGATTGTGTGTGTGTGTGTGTGAAAGAAAATATCTTTTTGTTTTTCCCTATTACAATGTGAGAAAATATCTTTTGTGGGTATGTACAACTTTTTTGTTTTTTGTAGGTTAGCATGTATTTAGTTACCCCAAAAAAAAGTGAGCATGTATTTTTGTGGATTATTTATGTTTTCATAGTTGAAATGCAAATATGAAGAAGAGTATGAAACTAACAAATTTGGAAAATCCACTATAAACTGGTCATACATCCATAGTATATGAATCATACACCCACTGGTGTAATCCAGTAAAAGAGGGCCTTGATTGCAGATCAGTAGTCTTATGTTTGAATTCCTATGACACTTTGATAGTGTGTGTGTGTGTGAGACAAATCTACATCCCCTTCTAAACTATCGTATGTATTCAAAAAACATGGGGAGGTGATTTTCTCACTCTTTTTTTCTCTACTTACACTTCATTTTGCTTTTTAATATTTTTTTAATCAATTTTGTTCTTTTTTGTTCTATCTATTTCCTATTCTACCCTTACCCTACAATTCCCTTTAATAATAAGACATGTACAATCACTTGCTAATATTATGAAAGAATAAAAATATGAGACTATTATGCATACCTTACTCTCTACATATCTAAGCTCATAATGAAAGTTTGGTTAGTAGCATTCTTTGATTCTTCTACCTATAAACATGTTAGCCCAAAAAATTTGTTATCTATTAACTACAACAAAGATAAATAGTACTTACATACTTGGTAAAAAGACAAAGAATTTGGTGTACAAATACTTACATTCCTATCCATTTTCAAAATTTATTTTTGTTTTATTTTATGTTAACTTTTCTTAATTTCAGTTATCAAAACCTTAAAGGTAGAATTGGAAAGAGAAAGAACAAAAAAGAACAATATTGATTTAAAAAGTATTAAAAAGCAAAAGAGAGTGTGAGCGCAAAAAATGGAGTGGGAAAATCAGCTCCCAAAATATATTAATAATAATTAATAATATGATGTGACGAGAACAAACAAAAAAAATCTCATAATCAAGGCATGTTGATTTTGAAATTCAAATAATTTTAGCACTTCTAATATCATTTTTCACACTTCATTATCACTCACGCATGAACAATGCGTGAAGTAATTGCAAGATGATTTAAAATGTGAAAAATCATCACCCTTTTGGAATTTTGAGATCCAATTTGGTATGCCAAAGTCATTGAAATCAATCAAATTGGATTGTAATGATCGGTGGCAAGCCTCTTCAAAGGCTCATGCCTCTCTTGTTTGTTTTCCTCCTCTCTTTCTTCCTCTTCTACACTTATATGAGGTTGGCCTCTCATTGAAGTTTAGGTTTTTCCTTGTTTTTGTTTGGGTTCGGTCTGTTATGTTTTGTTATCTATGTATTCTCTTTTTTGCCTCTTAGTTTTTGCGATCTATGTTTTGTTAGCTCTGGATTAGTTTTGTATCAATGAATTTGGGATTCAATGGTAAGAAATATTCAGTTTTTTTTTATTCAACATAATAAATTCTCATCCATGAAATTTGAACTCAAATTTCCTCAAAAAGAAAGTGGGACCTAAATTATGACCCCAAAAAAAAAAAGGTGATTGCCAAAAATATATATTCTTCTATGTGGATGTTCAGACATTAAAATCGTGCGGACGTTATATATTTTCTACTATCCCTCCCTACTTTTTCCCTATTTACAATGACATCCGCATACGAGAAGAACTATATATATATATGTATATTGAATCTAAAATCTTAGTAGTTTGTGCCTTGCTTTACTTATGACTTGTGAGAATGACTGTAGAATATTATGCTATAAGCTGTTTTCAAACAACTTTCCTTAGATCTTCTTGAGGTGTAAAGATTTTGGCTCTTCTTTTCTAATAATATGCACTTCAAACTGAATATTTTGTAATTTTTCTGACAAGAAGAAAGGGGGAGGTCATGTAAGGAAAGGAAGATAGAGAAAGTAAGAGGACGAGCACACTACCTTCCTGGATAACTGAGTTGAACACGTGCAATCTAATATTAGAGTTAATTAACTTAAAGTATACATAACACCTGGAAAGTGTAATTTCAAATCTAGGATATCAATACCAAAATCCATAACAATTATTTTGTTTGGTACAACAGACTGTCATGGACTCTGCTAAATCTGTCTTTGATTAGTTTGGATTGATCTAAGTTGGATTACGTGCTGACCTATGTTTGGTGGTGCGTCAAACTAGGAAGCTGGATTGTAAAAATAATGAAGACATTGTTGAGGCCCAAAATATTCACGGTTCGGCCCAATGTGATGCTTTACCAAGAAGAAACCCGATTTGGGCATGCGAAAGTTCATCATATGCGCTTGCACACATGCCACGCCAAACGACACGCCAGGCTAAGCAAAGAATTATCATTCCGCACCTAATCACACCACAAGCTTAAGTGGGCCCCAAGCCACTCAAATACCC